AGAAGTTCATTCTTACGAAGTGCCATAGCATTTCCTATTGATTTGTCTCCTGGACTGGACCTATTCTGTGTCTGATTTGGAATTAGCCGTCGCTACGCTGTTCCCAAGGACTAGCAAAATCGAAATAGCGAAATTCTTGGGTCATCTCAATGGGTTCAGAAACCACACGTTTCTCTGGATCATCATAGCGTACTTCCACATATCCACTCAGAGGAAGGTCTTTTCGTAATGGATGACCCTCGAAACCATAATCTGTTGATATACGGCGTAGATCCGGATGATTGATGGAAGAAAGACCAAACATATCCCAAACTTCTCGCTCCCACCGGCCGGCTGATGGAAATAGACTGACTACCGGAGATATTCGTGTTACTTCGTCTGCACTGGTTTGTACACGAATGCGTGAGTTATACCGAGTACTCAGTAAATTATAGACCACTTCAAATCTTCGTTTTCGAGAGGGATAATCAACTCCGCAAATATCGATCGAAACTTGAACCCTTGTATAGGTATGCAATTTCAGAAAGCACAACAATTTCAATAGGTAGTCCGTATTGGTATCAAATCTATTCCCATGTTCCGATCTTTCCATTTTTTTGACCCATTTCTTGGGTAAAATCTCCCAACTATATTTGAAAATGAATTGGTTATCCATAAATCAAAGATAAAGAAAGCTTTCTCAATTACATCGACCCTCTTCAAAATGAAGAAAGACTTATCTACTGTAGTGCGCCTTGGTCCAACCAAGAAAGGCATGGGAGTCTTTGGACATTGCTTGAGATAAGTCAAGACTGACTATCTCTATATACGCAATATTTTGAAAGGCGAAGAGTTAGTACTTTTTCCTTCTCGTAGTTCTACTTGTTAATTAAAAAGAGCGTATAAAAAAGGTCCCTTCAAATGTCTATGACTTCACTTCGCTTCGTTCGTTGGATCGCAAAGTGATCCTCTCCTTTCCTTCACTTCGCTTTGCTTCGTTTGTTTGGTCGAGTATCTTCAAACCTGCTATCACTTTGAGATCACCTGCTAGTCTTGGCCTTCCTTCTAGCTCTTACTTGAGGGAATGTGGAATAGACAATCCTATTAGTCCCGGAAAAGAAGGGACTCTCCTTTTTTTTCTTTGGGCCGGTAGGCTTCCTCGCTTTCTCTTGAACAAGGGTTGCTTTCCATGCCAACCGAAAGCCAAATTCACTAAACTCCTAATCCACAATTACCTTATTGCTGTAGGGGGGATTAACCCAACTTTATACTACTATTTCCCATGGTATGGTACGAGATAGGAATGGAAAGTCAGAGCTACGTTATAGTAGCTGCAATGCAGTCGTGGTATTCTCTGTTTTAAAGCCCTAAGCGACCCTATCAAGTCAAGGCAGCTAGTCCCAAGAGCTGCAAATGAATATGGAGATCTGAAATTAAACACTCCAGTAGCTAAGCTAACGGGTAAGCATGTGTATGCGAGCAAGGGAACTAGTAAGAGAGCAGACAAGGAAGCCTATATCGCTCCAAGGCGAGCCAGCTTATATTTAGTAAAGCTGTAGAGGGATTAATCCAACTTTGGTTGCTATAACCTATGGTATGGTACCTTATAGGAAAGGAAAGTACAGCGATAGCGCAATGGTTAGTGAAACTTTCCCTTGATAGGGTCGATGTAATTGAGGAGAAGCGAATCGGGCAGCTAGTGCGAACTGGTGTTCACTGTGCTGCTAGTGTGAAGGCATGGATAGCTAGTGAATTGGTCTACCGCTTGACTTGATAGGGCTTAACCTGGCAGGGAGTCCCGTTAGACAAATCGTCCGACGAGCGCTCAACCCATGAACCTCCCGTGACCCTCGCTATGAATCGCTCGTGAGTTCTCGCGATTCCTTAACGCGTCTTCCTCAGGGAAGACAGGCCCAGCGAGTGAGACCTGTCCACTTGTCGCACACGAAAAGCAAGGAAAAGAAGAACTTCAACCCCTTTTATGATAGCAAATATCACCCGAAGGCAAAGATTGCAGAGTGAATATGGGCTTAGGAGTTCTGTCTTCTTCTGCTTTGATTGCCCTATCAAGTTTAAGGGAAAAAGCTATATCCGTTTGATCCTTTTATCGCATCTTTTCCCAACTTAGAAGCGAAGCGAAGTCATCAAAATAGAAATCCCAACAAATGTGTCTTCCATTATCTTATATAAGAACAAACCACGGTCACTTCCACTTGCCTAGCTGAGAAAACCACTGTCTCAGTAGCTTCCTCTGGAACAGCAGCGGAGCAAATAATCAACAAAGATGTGAGAGCTTAGGCGGCGCAACAGTCGGGCACCATCCTGCTGTTGTCGGCGATGAATTTCCAGCTTTGAGTAAGGAGACGGTCTCTCCGATCGTCAATGGTCGGTACTCGAAACGTCGACGTCCTCTCGACCCAGGAAGCTCTACTGGAGAGAAGGATACTAATGGGACTAAGCCAGTGGAGGATAATGCAACCCAAGGACAACAGGAGAAGGGCGTGACTCCTCAGAGATGGAGTTTCCGGGATATGGTGAGTCAAAACCGTCCACACGTTGCCTTGGATGCTGGGACCGGGGAGGAGGATGGGATTGATGAGGATATTCGGGTGGATTTCTCTTCGACAGTGGCGGACGTGCGTATTGCACCCCGGTTCTACGAGATGTTGGCCAAGGATTGGCCAAATGTTGTGGTTGTCAAACCAATGGATGCTGCTCTTTCCCATGCGGTCTTGTACAATAGATTGACGAAGATGTGGCCTCATATGGTGGGATGCAAGATGATGGACTTGGAGAATAGTTTTGACTTGGTACATTTTCGGACTCATGAGGACGCTGTTCGTACTCTTGTTGGAGGCCCTTATGTGGTAGGAAATGGATACCTTCATGTCCAACCTTGGTCTCTGGATTTTGACGAGAATACGACTCAGCTATCGAAGGTGGTGGCTTGGATTAGGCTCCCAGGGATGCCCGTTCACCTTTATCATAAGCGAGTGTTTCGCCAAATCGGGCAAATTGTCGGGAAGGTGGTTAAGATTGATTATCAGACAGCTACACTAACGAGGGGTAAATTCGCGCGGCTGGCGGTGTTGATTGATCTTTCTAAGCCTTTGTGTGTGCACTTCACGATTGAGGGAAAAACTCAAAGGGTGGAGTATGAAAATATGCCGCTAATTTGCTTCCACTGTGGTAGATATGGGCATGAGGCCAACACGTGTCCGGATCGAGACAAACAGAATGGGGGGAATCCTAATGAGGTCAATTATATCGAGCCTTTGGTCCCCTCTGAGCAGGATGGTGATGCTCCGGGCGAGGCACAGCGGGATGTGGAGGTGGAAGAGGGTCCGAGGTCGTTGTACGGACCGTGGATGCAAGTACCTTTAGGGTCAGGAAGTCTGTCGGGAGATGGGAGAAGGTCAATTATATCGAGCCTTGTATCTGCGAAGAACTTCCAGATTAATAGGAAGGAAGCGAATGAATAAAAATTCATCAACAGCTGCGAATTGAATCAGTTTCTCCCCAACAAATAAGTGCTTGGGCCACTAAAATCCTGCCGAATGACGAGATAGTTGGAGTTGGAGAGGCGCGATATAATTGCCCTATACTTTTCTTTATAAAACCAATAAACCGATTATTTTGTGAAAGAATTTTTGGGTATCTGGCTCAAGATCTATAGCAGCTTGGTTGGAATTGGAATGCTTGCCTTGGGGCGGAAAGAAATAATAGAAAAATAACTCCAATATAAAGATCTTCGTTAGTACGTAAACCGATTGTATACCACCATTGAGAAAGACCAGAATAAGCAATATTCACTGGTCCAGGGGCACCTGAGTAAAAGCTTCTACGGCTGATTGATCAAAATGAGGATCCCAAATTGCATGAGAAATTGGTCTTACATGTAAAACCTGTACGCATGCCTTGACCCAACGAACTTTTCGAAGCGAAGTTCAGTCATAGAAGCTTCTTTCTCTTCTGATTCCGAGAATGATTGTTTGCACGGGCTTTTCCTCTGTAAGCCCCGGTAAAAGAACGTTCGACTTGCATGTGTAAAGCATATAGCTGAAGTAGCATGATTAGAGCTTCTTAGCGCTTAAGCTACTACCTATACTATAAAGAAGATAAGCTTCAACCTGCTCTTACTTAGATGGAAAAAAAAGAGAGTAAGCAAGAAAAGGGAATAAAAACCTTTCCCTTATATACGATAGCACCAGACGTGCCCCTGAGGCCTTTCTTTCTCCTATTGCTCTGTTTTAAAGTGAAAAAAAGAAGACGGACAGGCCTGTGTACTTCAAATGTCTTAGGTAGCAGTAGTTGATATCCCAGTCCGGGGATAATAAACATAGTCTACGTCTCCCAGTTTCTTGCACTTAAAAAGTCATTTTCCTTCCTCCTTGCCATTTGAAAAAGAGCTTTCGGTCTTCTAACTCATTCCCGACTTAAGAGCAAAGAGCGGATATTCGGATTGCTTGCATAGGCGATGGAAGTTTCCAGGTGACTGCTCAGGATGTATCCACAATGCTGCGATGTGGACAGAGGTCAACTTTGTCGAGCCTGATAAACAATGGTCCATTGAAATCCATGATGGGCCATACAATGTGATCAAGAACTTGAATTACACTGGGTTGGTTGACGCACGGGGAAGGCAAATGCTGGACTGCCAAGGGTCGATGTAATTGAGAGCTCATTGAAGCAATTGAAACTGCAACAGGACCTAAGAAGGACTGCTTATGCTTCATTGAGGTGATAGTTCACAAGGATGATACGAGCAAAGAGTTGCTTGAATGGGGCTCCAGGGTCTCTGCTGCGCCGTCCTCCCAATCCTCAGTAAACTTGCACCATTTAACCCACAACTTAAAAGTAGCTAGGGTAATGGTAGTTCTTTTCAGCGACGGAACAGGTATAGCTTTGATCGAAGGGTCGATTACATTGAGGAGCGATGGAATTGAGGAAATTCAGCATCAGGATCGGTTGGATTGATTGGGATACGGGCTTTGCTACCGGGAAGCAAGGCTTCCGCTTTCAAGCTTCACCTCCCCATTCTCACGAGTTGGATCCGAACCAAGACCGGAATGCTTGAGGGGATGATTAAGCTCACTCCCTTTTATTTTATATAGTGGATTTGGTGCCCGGATCCGATACAAACCCTAGTCAGAATGTCTGAATGAAAAAGCAAGGACTCAGTCAACTGCCCCAGTGAGCGAAGATGGAATCGAAGAACCTGGCAATCGAAGAGTTGCTAGTAAAGCTAGAAGTAGCTCGGGTTTCTGTTGGTGACAGGTTAGCGCAGAAGGAAAGAGCAAGAGAAAAAGCATCCCGGAACCATTCGGGAAGTCAAATAAGCAGAAGACTTGCGTCTAATGGGGTTAGTCGCTCAGTGGCAGCTTCTCAATTCGGTGAGTTCGCTTCCCTTTTGATGTCAGCATCTTCCTTTCTTTGAACAGCCAATGGCGAAATGACCGATGGAAGGAGTGAGGCCTTTTTCTGATTCTACCGATGGGAGAAGCTGCTTTCTTCGATATCGATGCCGAAGCCTTTGATTGGAGTATAATATAATGGCTCACGAGTCAAGGCGGTTCCTTCGCAATATGCAATTGATCGATCCATCTGATTCTGATATAGATGCCCGGGAAAAGCCCTAGTCAGAGAACCTAGCCAACCTGTCTTCCCATCGGTAAAGGAAGAAGGATCGATGTAATTGAGATGAAGCTAGCTCGCCCTTCGGGGAACAAGCAACGGACTGGAGCGCTTCAAGCCCTCTACGCTTCGCGAGAGCGACTACGTTCCTCGTTCCTCTTCCTCTCGCTTTACTGGAGATCTCCGAACCTTAGCCCAAGCCTATAGCTCAATCCTCGGACTATCAGTCGATAACTTTGCTTTGTACCTAAAGCTTAGAAAGAGTGAAGTTAGACTTTGAGGTTGGTTTGCTTGTTACAGTCCTGTCCCTGACCTCAACTCTGAACTCAAACTCAGCACTCACTTCTCTGGAAGTTGTCAAACTCCCTTTATCTGGTCAATTATATCGAGCCTCGTTCCGGACCTGCAATCAAACTACTGCGCTATAGCTTACCTCTGATGAGAAAGAAATGCAAGCCCTAACGAGCAAAGAGCAATCTGTTTTCCATCCTATCCCTATCTGCTTTCGCAGCCTCTCCTTCTATCGTATCGTTCGAGCAGCTATCGCTGCTATCCTTTCAGTCGAGATCAATTCGCTACCATAAAATAGTCTTCATCTTCCCCGGAGGACAGTGAGTGAAGTGACTTCTTTAACCTCTCCTTATCAGTATCAGTTGAGGGCTATAGCTCTGGAACGCTATCGATGCTATCTGCTCACCGCTTTCCGGAACGCTTTGCTCTAAATCTGATCTGGAACCTTCGCTTCTAAAATACTTCTGACTTCACTGCGCTTCGCTTCGTTCGTTGGGTCGATGAAATTGAGAAATAGGGAAGTAGAGTAGTTGGCACACGCTGGTCAATCCAGTATGTACGTCGCTTTCGTTCTTTCCATTCAATATCCCATTCCCGGTCGCATCTGTTCTATTCAGCCAATCCCTTGCTGCTTGCTTCATCCCGCCCTGCCTGGTCATCGGTCGTACCCTATCTTGAATCTAGAATCGAGTCTGTGTTGGCTCCCTTCTTTTCAGTTGGAGGCTGACTACCCGGTCAAAATAGGTATAATTCTTGCTGGCGAAAGGCCTGCTCTTTTTAGAAGTCTTCCTCGGGAAAGATAAGGTAACGTAGCTTCTTCGCCAACTTTCCACTTTCAAATGTCTTATACTAGAGCGGATATGCCTAGGCTTCTAAATTACATTTATCCTTGCTTTCTTTATCGATGCGAATTGAATACGTAGCTCTAAGACGAGGGAAGTGCTTGTCTAAGGCGGTGCCTATTGTGTCCTTTTCAGTAGTTGCCATTGATCGTTGACACGAATGATTCAGTTAACGTTGGTGAAACTGATGAGGATTTGATTCACAGAAAGAAGAAATCGCCGGTAGCTCGCTCAATTCAAGGTACAGGAGTGGCTTAGCTTGCTTGACCCGAATTCACTCCCGAACTCGGGTTGAGCTGTCTTGCTTGCTCTTTGAAAAAGGCCGATCTGGGTGCAGCTTGATTCGAACTTCATCATAAATAATAAATCCGCTTTCGAATGGGAGTCACAGGTCGTGACCCCTGAAACGATTAATCCCAACCTTCTTGATCTCCTCCCTACTTACTACCAACCTTGTTATTTCGGGAAGAAGACTTTCCACACTGAACCCCAACCCATTACCGCACTTTTGCAGAGAGAGTTGATCTAGTTGGTTCTCCCAAGCTTTCCAATTAGAGATGTCCACTTGAAAGAAGCCCAACCTTTTCCCGTATGCAATAAGAGAGTTCACTCTTAGAAGACTTCTGAGTTCCTTCTCTTTTCGAGGAACTACTCCAAATCAGGTAATTCAGTGGCCTTTGCAAGGTGACTTGAATACGAGATTTTTCCACAAAGGGGAATCGCGTAATATCACCGAGCTCAGTCAGGATATGTTTTCAGTTATTGAAGCTATCAAAGGTATCTTGGCTTGACCCCGGAAGATTGCTTTAGGTCGATTCGGGAGTGAAGAGGAGCTCTTCGTCTCGAGGCCTCGTCAGTCTCTCTCAAACAAATAGGGTTGCGGCGGGAAGGCCCTGGGGCTGGAAAGCTGAATGAGTTAGTAGAGCGAACCCAACGAACAAAGCGAAGCGAAGTGAAGTCATAGAAGTCGAGTCTCACAAGCCCTCCTCTCCCTTTGGTCGAGACAATTACATCGAACCTTCCTTACTAAATAAATCCCCATTCGCCTGGACTAATGCTTCCTTATGTCTGTCATTAGCTTAAGGCTAGTGTAACGGATGGCTTCCTTGTTGGAGTACATAGTGGTTCGGATAAGGACAGGACTTGAATGACTTCTTTTCCGGCGCCCTAGTTAAGCTGAAAGTCGAACGGGCTCAATCGGAGGAGGAGAGCAGGCATGCTAAGTAAATAAGATGGCATCAGAATGCACTCTTGGAAGGGCTTTGCGCCTTAGACGTTAAATGCGCATTGCCAGTTGATGAGAATCAATCATAGTTTGGTGGGCCCTATCGGTCGAGATCTACGAACCTCCACCGTCAGCTTATTCGAAGCTTGCAGCAAGATCTTCGTCCTTTCCTTTGTTTGAGACACTTTCCGTATCATCTTAAAGGGATAAAGGCTAACCGCATTCTAATTTATTGAATTCTGATTATGTAATTTGATTGATTTTTCATCTTTTATGACTTCACTTCGCTTCTAAAGATGTAATTGATCTCAATGTAATCGATCCTCTTCCCCAAGCACCAGCTGGGTAAATCCTTCGAGAGTCCAGGTGGATGGGCCCCTATATATTCTATTTTCCCTTTAAAAAAGACACACACATTTCTAAATTCTTCACTCATGTCAGTCATATTTAGATCCATTGGGGAATAATAAGTAAGCTCATCTCGGATCCCAGTGGACGCCTCAGAAGCGGAACTATTGGAGACCGGAGGGGCCCCTATAGAACAACTTCCCTCAGATGGAGAAGATGGAGATACGGAAATATCAATCCGGGTGAAGGAAGAGTGGGGCCGGTTGGATCAAACTGTGATCCATACTTCAGAAAGCTTCCTCTTCATTTTGATATTCATTCCTTTTTGACTCCTTGTTAGAAAGGCTTGCCTATTCCGACTAAAGCCCGGTGTGCTTCTTAATTCGAAGCAAAACCAGAACGCCTAAAAGCATTGACGAAGAGAGGATCGATTACATTGAGAATTGAATGGGGGACACTTTTTCATTCAGCACGGGCCTATATAAGGTTTCTCAATTACATGGATCCTCACGTTACAGCTACTGTGTTGACTGTAACTAGAATACGATTTTTCAACTAACAAAGCGTAGTCTCTAAACTGACCCTGATGCCCTGCTAAGTCAGCCGCCATCCACACCATAACATGGTGGGAAAGCGAAAACAAGGCCCATGAAAGGTAGTAGCCTAATGTAATGGCTGCCTGGCGTTGAAGGAAACTACTCGAGGAGAACGTTCGAGAGCTATGTGTATTGCTCGCTCACTCCTTTTAGTAAAGGAAAGGACAGATAAGGATACTAATGTTAGAAGCGCGTTCCTAAACGCGCTATATCCGTGGTTTCCCTAGCGAGAGTTGAATATCTACTCCTACTATAAGACTAGAAACTGGAAATCGACTAGCACCATATGCTATCCCGAACTCGAACTAGCACGAGAAAAAGGAAAGCGACAACTCTGACTCTTACCCTTGAAGTCACTTCGTGAGCGACTAACTCACCGTATTCCATTTAACCCCTCGCCTGAGGGCTCGGACTCCAAGGCATGAGGAAGAGAAAGAGCTAGAGCAAGAGAGCTAGAAGGAAAGCTGGCAGAGAGAACCACACCATAAAAGCTCAAGAGTACTATTGGAATCTTCGATTGCCTATTAATGTCTCCTAGCTGTCTCGTCTTTCTCTCAATCCGGAGCCATAGCTAATACTATACAAATAAGACAGCAAGTGCACCCTTACACCGATGAAGGTTTAACGTAGTCGTCCCTCTCCTTTTTTATGACTGAACTTCGCTTCGTTCGTTTCATTTCAATTCAACTTTTTGCATCTCATATAGCTGCGAAATGAAGCAAGTCACTTTTCCTTCGTGGACCACCTGATCAATTGCAAAACTTGCAGCTGTGAAATCTATAAAGTGGATTTCCGCCCCCTTCTTCAATTCAACTTTTTGCTTCCTGTGAAATGAATAAAATTTCTTTCTTTCGCTAGGGCCAACTGGGGGAGGAGCGAAGTAGCTTGAGTTCGACGAAAGCAACGAAGTAAGTCGACTGCAAGGTACGTAGTCACTTGACCATCGGGAAAGGAGAGGGGAGGCAAACTCGATAACCGAGCCCGGAAATCACACTTCTATTTTCTCTGTGTTGGGCATCTAATTTCTCAAGACAGTAGGGGTAGGGGCACAGGAAGGACTTCACATTTCATAGGCGATAGAAGCACTGAGCTCAAGTGTTCTTTACTAGAAGCACAGGAAGAAGCTGGCTGAGTCGAAAGACGAAGGAAGTAGTTCAAGCTGGGTAACGAACAAGGGGGGCCTAGGCCGTGAAGGTAAAGTAGGGCAAGGCACGGAGTCCTTCCCTTAGCCGGGATGCTACATTTAGAGAAAAAATGAATTGCCTTTCAATTCGAAATCTTAATAAAGAGGATTAAAGTAAGCAATCGGCTACAGGTCATTAGATGTGGAAATTCAGGGTGATAAGAAGCTGACGGTTGCAGAAGATGGACTTCTTTGTTTTTGTTGACCCAGGTCTNTGAGCTTTCTTATTGAATCTTCGTTTAGGCAATTCAATTATAGAGGCACAGGCTATTGCTATTCCAGAGGGCTCTCCCTTAATTGAAAGCTCATATTAATATCTATTTTATATATATTGGCTCATTTAGTTAGATCTGAGGCCGGCATAGGCAGCAAGAGAAGAAAAGGCATAAGGTGAAGCATCTAAATAAGATAGGCACAACGAAAGGGTCCGGAAACCTTATGACCAGCTAAGAGACTTTCCTGCATGCACGTGAAGCTAAGCTTTGAATTGATCTGATCTTCGCGCTTTCATAAGTGGAGGCTTTCTATTGCTTGACGTTAGGGGACCTAGACCTACCCTTGCTGCTATAGAGCAGGAACCTTTTTTTAGGGGGGGTCAAAATCTTCTATGAAATAGGTCATATATGGTATAGATAAGACTCCTTTTTCTATCCCACCCGATTTCCAGTTAGTTCCTCTTCAATGCTTTCAAACAGAATAAAGAACTTCCTTTCCGTGGGAAGAGTAGACTTCAAGTATTGGACCCTAGCTCGATTTTCGAAAAGCTCTCTTTTGTGGACTGAAGAATGCGGGAGCAACCTACCAACGCGCCGTCACAGCCTTCCCTTCCAGCTCAAACACCATTCCATTGGTGGAGTCCGTCTCGACCACGAGAGAAAGCTATGCGAGTGGATTTCTTCCAGCGCCAATCCCAGGCAAGAAAGAGACAAATCCAATCTAGCACAAAAAGTTCCTCGGATGTGAATTATCGGGATGCTTGATAAGAGCAAGATCAACTCTTTCTTTAGTTCCAGGAAGCTCCAGCTTCAAGTAAAGTAAAGCAAAGCTAAGTCGAAGTGGATATCCGTTTGTTACAGATGCCTTGGCTTATAGAGGTCAGACATGTTCAGTCTAATTTCCCTATCGGTCTTACAAACTGACTCTTCCTAGTGTCAGAGCTAACCGAATTGGATGGGAAGGATGGTTTATAAGGATTCCCTATTGCTGGCATAGCAGGAAGAGAGGCAAAGGGAGAAGCGGCTTTAGGAGACGAAATGGAACCCAAGTTACATGGACGAAGATAGAAGCATTCTTAAGGGGATGGATATAAGACTACGAACACAAACAAAAAGTGTGCCTTCAAAGCGGGAGCTAAGTGGGTACAGTGAACACCAAGCCAATCAAGAGCTCAACAACATGAAATGCTGGGAATGAATTACTTCTTAGTTAATCAAACCCTAGAGATTCTATTCATACCTAGAATAAGGGAGGGTACGAACAAAGCGAAGCGAAGTGAAGTCATAGACTAAAAAATTGATTCATTAGTTGCGCCGACTAAGACTCTTTTCTTTAAAGAGCGGATTCCTGAAGAAGAACAATAAGATGATACAGAAGTAGATCGTTCCACTTTGTAACCCTAATTTGACTTCGCTTCGCTTCGTTCGTTGGTTCATTTCTGCTTTCTTAAGTTAGTTCCTTTCTTTCCTTATCAGAGAGGGGCCCTTATAATCACGTGAAGAATAAATACGACGTTGATGGCTGTGTACGTCAGATGGCGATCCCCTTTCTGCCGCTGAAGGTAGGTAGGGAAGACAGAAAGGGCAGCCTCACTCTCCAAGACGAATAGCGGTAAGGGTGCGAGTTGAGGTCAATTACACCTTCCCTCTCCCTTTGGTCGAGACTCACTTTGCTCTCCTCATACGGCTCCTCGTTCAATTCTTTCGAATTCATTGGCTCGACACCAAAAGTGTGTGGTGGGGGAGTAGGTGGTGCCTCTGGTTTTTTTATGCAGCAGTCTTTGTCTTGCGGGGCATCCTCCTTGAATTTCTTATTCGTGATAGCCGCATAGTTGGGCTTTCTATTTCTACTCGGCAGCGAACAAAGAAGCGGCGATCTCGATAAGCTAAGCAATTGACTCTTTGTTTGCGATTCTTTCAAGGAAGACTCAGATCCAATATCGGTAGTGGAAGAATTAGACTTGTGTAAGCCTGAGAGATGGCCTAGACCAGAAAGTCTTAAATTAAGTATAGGCCGGGGGCAGCAGCAGAAGGTTGGACTGGAACCCGAGAAGGACAAAAACAATATCTCTTCGGTGCAAGTTACTGACGATCGGGCTTCAAGCAGCTAATCTAATCTGTAGCACCTGAACTCCTGAGCTTGCTTGGGTGAGTGGTGGGATGATCTCTTGGAGTTGCCCGAGTGAAATGGGGCTTATGAGGGGAGGCTAACTATCCATCTGACTACGCCCGCTCTAGGCTAGGCTGATGCTAACTTCGCTTCGCTTCGTTTGTAGGTCGACAAAGTTGAGTTGAGGGTGGTGTAGGATCTACGGTCTCCGTATCTATTGGCTACAGGAATACCAGTAGTAGGAAGATCAGTAGGAATAGAAAGACCAGTCCGTACGAGCCAGAAGGAGTAGTAGCAGGTATAGGTAAGCAGGAAAGCACGTAGGCACAAGTTAGCAAGTCCTATAGTAAGTAGGCAAACTCGTTCTTCTCTATCTTCAATAACTGAGCGATTGTAGGAACAATGATCCCGTATGGAGCCATGGTTCTTCAGAGTATAGCTTGTTAGTGATTCGTAAGCGTTCCAATACAATAGGTAGCTAGTGTGAAGCTGGTGGCTTACGAGTTGGGCCTCCGGACGATAAGACATCACATCGTAGCTATGTAAGGGTAAACCCTCCTATTCGGGAGTCTTGCTTACGGGCTAACGCTCTGACATGGGACTTCTATCGGAGCAAGAGCCCTCTAATCTAATAAGCTCGTGGCCGGAAGGGGTGAGAAGGTGGCCCGCGTTGATTGCTAGCTTGTAGGTGATCTCGACTCTCATATACGCTAATATAAGAGTACCAATGGTACCGCTTTCAAGTGAGACTATAGAAAGCGTAGTTTTCCTTCCTTTATGAAGAATCACTCAAGGGACTTATTAAAGATGCGTTGTCCGGCATAAAATCTCCACTATTTCTTTCCGGTCTGATTGACCGGTTTGGGAGTTTAAGAAAGAGCTCCGTGACTTTCCTTTATGACTTCACTTCGCACTTGGTATGACTAGAGAGACCACTCCATTGCTAGTTGGGATTTTTATCAAGCTTTCCGTAGCCGTAGAGATAGGAAAGTTCCCCCACTAAATTGTCTCTTAAGGTCGGTGCACATCTCGATCAATTCGTTCGTGCGGGGCGGCGAACAAAAGCGGGTGTTGGGTTAAGGTCTTACCCTTTTGGTGGGGCAGGGTGCACGAAATAGCTCGACTGAAAGGTTTGAAGATGCTCGACGCGTAAATCCGAGGTTCAGAGAGCGAAGTGAGTCTCGACCATAGGTCAATGTAATCTTTAGAAGCGAAGTGAAGTCATAGGAACTCAATCTCCAAGGGCAATGACGAAAGTTGATCAATTTCTTCCAGATTCTTTCCTTGTGCCTGCGACACTTTATAGGTTTGATCTCTTCTGAATGTGCACTCAAACGGTTGCGCTAGAAAAGCGTTATCACGAACCCCACATTTTTTTCCCCATTAATTATAGGGCTAATCCGACCGGTTCTCCCGGCCGCTTATTGGTAATTGACCCAGCTTGTGCCTAATCCTTACTACGATAAGGGGAATCGTCGCTCACATTCGCATAGTAATTAACCCATTCCCGTCTTTCAATCCTCCATGCTATGGAATGAAAGAAAAGCTGATCAACCTGTCCAGAAAGCCTGTTCTGCTGAACCTCCTTCTTCTCTCCTCTCCTTTTAGTCTCAATTGCATCGCCCCAACGAACGAAGCGAAGCGCAGTGAAGTCATAAAAAAGAGATTGAACTTCGCTTCTAAAGTTGGGTACCAAACCTTTAACTTAATAAGCTTTTTAAGGGTTCTTTCCTTAGTTCTTGTTTACCCTACTGCTATGCTTAACATATCCTTTATAGGGTTGGGAGGTCTTTCCGTTGTTCTTCTTCCTTGTTCTTTCCGTTCAACCAGTTGTTCTTTTCCCATTCATACAGTGGGGGCACCCTGTAGCTCGGGATATTTCGACTACCATATACGTCAACGGGTGATCGGTACCCTCTGGGTGAGTGAACGAGGGAATAGTAAGGAAAGGAAAGTACAGCAATCCCTACCGCTTGACTTTGACGGGCTACCCGGAGAATCAAAGAGGCGAATGGTTGAACGAACAAATGAGCGAACAAGACTAAACTAGGCTAGGGTCTATGGTCGGAGCTCCTAACTCCCCTTATTGCCGTAGAGGGGATAGCCAGACTTCTTGTTTCAAACTCCTAGCCAGTAGGTCTACTCCACTATCTGGACAACCTGTCACTTCTAAACCAGCTAGGCAAGCAAGGGAACGAGCCAGACAGGCAAGGAAGGAAAGAGCTAGTTCAGGGGTATTCGGTGGGAAGACAGGTAAATCGGTAAGCTATCCCTTCGGTACAACCAGTAACCCCTAATCCCGCAAGCAGGGTAGTTAAAGGCTAAGGATCTATCGGTGAAAGAAGGAATGTGAAGGAAGGCAGCTAGCCCGAACCAGTAAGACTGCAAGTATCCCCATGTTCCCGGACTTCAGCTCCTAAACGAACCAGAACTTATATATATACAAGCCGAACCGGTGTATTCGTTCTCTACTCCTTCTCATTCCCGGTATAACTTTCACTTTCTAGGGCTAGGGACTTTCTAAAGATGCGTTCTAACTAAGAAAATCGGATAGGTCAATTACACCTTCCCTCTCCCAAATCTTTTCTACACTGCGCTTCGCTTCGTTTTTTAGAGTCTCACTTTGCGATCCTTTCAATATCAGGCTCGCTGGCCTAAAAGGGGAATGTCAACAAGGTCTTAAGTGGATTCTTTCCCTGTAAGTATATTTGACTTTCGGATTTGATTTTATACTTGAAGTTGAAACTTCTTTTCTTTCACCCTTCGATGAGCCAGTACACTTTTCACTCCTAAAGAGTTCGATTTGCTCTTCTTTATCTTAACAGAAAAGAGAGGTATGACCGAAGAGGATGATTTTCAGTGCTCTTTCTTTGATTCATCGGGACGTACCAAGGCGACATAAACTATGAATCTTAGTTGCTTTCTTCTCACAGGTGCGGTAGCAATACCAAAAGAAATAGGGAAGACGGGGAAAGCCGTGCTTATGCTTAGGAAGAGGAACTAGGCCAAGAAGCTCTTTATTGAGCTCTTCGCACCTTCAAAAACCATGTGCTTCACGACGAGGAGAAGAGCAACGAGCTTCTTCCTGCGCGAAATCAATCACATCCCTGCTGGCTTTGGAAGCTCTCTTCAACCGAATCCTTGTCCGCCAAAGACGCTTCCTCCACCGCGGCAAATCTATTCCCTTTCCTTGAATCACTACTCAACTTCTAAGACCTTTCCTTCACTGCGCTTCGCTTCGTTCGTTGGGTCTTAGATACAAACTTTTCGAAGCGAAGTTCAGTCAAAAACGTCAAGGAGAGGATCGATGTAATTGAGGCTCGACGTCAAGGAGAGGAAGTAAGGCTCTATCTCTCGTATCCGATCCCAGCTCGCCCCGCCTGTCTTAACATCATTGTTCCGCTGTATCAATCTTTTGATTACGAGCGCAGGCGAAGTCGAACAGAACCAAGCAAGCCCTGACACTGGTGCAGCAGGCAATGCGTCTCGTCCTCTTGTCCATCTCTGTCAAGCAGAAGCTAAGCAATCGGTCCTACCCATCTCATAGTTTTTTGATCGGGCTAACCATCCAACTCAATGCAATCTATTCCCTCTGGCTCCCCTCTTGTTCTCAAATGTCATCCACCGGCAGAAGCATCCGAACCTGGTATTTCATCTCCTCCATCGGATTTTAATAGGGTGCCCCCTCTTTCTCTGCGGAGAAGTTCAGTTCTGTAAGGACTTTTCGTCATCAATACAACGAACAGTCCGAGCTAAAGCGACAAAGGCCTTTTAGTAAGGCGAATAGTCCGGGCATTTATGGGACAGATGGAGTAGTTAAAGTGGGACCGCAGGGGATGAGCTTAATAGATAGGCTCATAAGATGCCGATAGGCGAGGCTCGATGTAATTGAGTAGGTGAGCTGACAAGCGAACTGTATGAAAGAACTGAGCATAATCAAGCTCCGAGGCGAAATACTGCTGAACCTTCCCGAATGTCTATGACTGAACTTCGCCAATACTTTTGACTTCACTGCGCTTCTAAAGATGCAGAATACCTCTAAATTACATCTATCCTCAGTGACTTATTATCAAGGTTTTTAATGCAATCGTCCATTGGAACAAGTCTAAACCTCAACTCTACTCTAGAAAGTAGTGCCTCAAGAATGACGTAGTCATTTGATCTAGTTTAGTGATAGCCTTAGGTCAGCTTGGTTCGCTCTGGCTCTCCGGCGATGTGTGATTCAGACCTCTCTGAGACTAAGAGGGGTAGATGAGCTCTAAGCCTTCTAAGATGAATCCCAAAAGCAATCGTCACTGCTTTCGGCATATTATAGTATAGAAAGTATGCTACTCTACGATAGAGGCAAAAACCCTATGCCGGTGTGAGGTCAATTATATCGAGCCTATCATCCTTAGTTTGTGACGTGAGCTCTTCAGTTCGTGAGTTCTCGAGCGGTGAAGAAGCTGAGCTTTGATTATCCCTTCACATAGTCTAATCTGAAGCTGAGCTACGGTACTTTATCCTATCAACAAGGCGGCAAAGCGTCTCAATTACATCGAGCCTCGCCTCAGATATTGGTTCCCTTGATCAGCCAACGGCTTGCAAGATCTGGAACGACCGGCGAATAGAAAGCTCTATGTAAGGTAGAAAGACGTCAAGAAAGCTTGAATAAGAATAGTTGATTCAATAGCTGCTGCGGCTTTTTTAATATCCTATTCCTGGAAGCGCTCATATCCATCTCTTTAGCATCGAATCCCATCTATTGTAAAAGCCCAACCCCAACCTTTAATCAAGCCAAATTAAGGTCAATCTTTCGAAGAGTATCAGCCCCTCAGGAACGGTACGAACGAAGCGAAGTTCAGTCATAAGTAGTAATTGACGAAGTTCAGTCAAAAAAAAACCATAGTACGAGGAATGAAAGGGACAGCAAGCCGGTTACTAACGTAAATCTAAAGATTGATAACAGATTTGCACCTGCTAGCTCTGTAGATCTTAATTATCTTCCATTTTTTTCTTTATCCTTGGTGGGCATAGGACAATAGGACTTTCTTCAGCCGCGTTGAGAAACTCCGTCTAAAGACTTGGTACCCTCCAGCTATCTCTTTCTTGGGAAAGATCTTCGCTTCGGGACACAGCCCCGGCAGGTACCATGTTCGCTTTCCTGGTTCGCAGCTCACTTTCGCCCAATGTTTCCAAATCTACGGCTACAGATTGTGCCAAGGACGGCACCTAAAAGCTCTTCGTTCGTTGGGTTGACTTTTTGGGGTTTAGTGCCCAGCCGGTAGTACATCCTAGTGATAGTATAATCATTAGGAGCTACAGGTATTGTACGGGGATCTGAGTCTTCCTTATATAGTCCCAGCACTCGTAGACGATGCCGTACCTAGTGAAGAGTTTCTCCTCACTGATACGGCGCCGTAGAGCACACGGTCCATAAGATCTTCTAACCGTAGAGAGTAATTCTGACAAGCATCTGCATACCACTCAAGGTATCTCACGTGTTGACCCACCCAAGTAGATAAAAATCTCTCGAGCAGGCGCTATGTTAATAGCCCTTCCCAAAACGGCCGAATCATATCCACGGACTCTTCATCTAGAGGCCGCGGTTTCGACCGCCTTAGTAAGAAGGAACGAGCCAATCCGAACTCATATATACCTAGCATCCCCTTTTCCGGGAATGCCAACCATATAGAGAGCGGCATTGGATACATGCCTGACCTAGTGTACAGAGATAACCAGCACCTTTTCCATCGACGGGATAGATGGGAGAACACCTTAACCGGTGAACCCATATCTACCTTAGACAGTACTCGATAACCGGCCCCTTTCAAGTGGAAGGCGTTGGACTTTCGTCTCAACCCTAACACACTGAAAGCATTCGCCGAGAGAGAGCTAAACGCAAGTAACACATTCGCCAAACTGACAGGACTGACGTCTTGTCTGGTCGAAAGGTGATTATTTATTAAAAATCGTTTAGCAAACTCACAGGTACCGGGAGATGAGGGATTTATTCATATTAATAAACCCACCAGCCTCCTCCGTCTCGGTACGCTAGGGCTACTTCTTCATTGGCTTCACCCTATAGGCCGCATGCCACACCAACATATGGTGAGTCAGTGCGAACAGCGGCCATGATGAGTAAAATCCCAGAGGCTAACCCAACTTAGAAGCGAAGTGAAGTCATAGATAAAGCAAAGCGCTGGCATAAAGATGCTGCCCGAGAAAACTTGCTGCTTCATTGGTTGATCGAACCTCATGTTTTCGATCTCCTGCTGCTAAGCTCAAATCTCATGAAAGAAGGGCATTTTAGCAGCCTGTAACACATGTTGAACACGGGCGCTAGCCGACCGACCCCTCTTTGAGAAAGAGAAAAGGGGACGCCTCACAAAGACTACTCAGAGCATCTTTCGTGCTCAAGACGAGACTCCTCATCTAAGTCAATAGATGGGGCAGATGCTTTCTCTCTTCACGAGTCGTCTGGCTCCATACTTACCCCCCTTTTCCGACCTCCGAGCCGGCTACTGCTTTAGAAAATCATTCCTTTTCGCGCGCTACTTCACAACACGTTTTTATTTCCTTGTGATTCAACTCAATTACATCGACCCTTTGCTTCTTTATTCTTCCTGTTCTTCGGGTCTCATCTGAACGGCTCGCTGCCTATTTAGTTACTTTCTTTGTTTGGATTCCAGAACGGAACTACAGATCCTGGCCCCCTCCATTCGACCTTGTAAAAGGTCTCAATGGGGAGGTCTTGGTGCCCTGCTCACAGCTCTCCATCTTATGCATCAAAAGGGCGCCAGGTTTCCATATTCTTCTTCCCCACCCCCTACCTTGAAAGAACATCGGGTTGTTTGCATTAGTTCAGCTGGGAAGCCAGTACGAATGCTTTCAGTGGTTCTCCTAGGTTAGAAAAGGGAGGTGGGCGGGATAAGAGAAGGAGCAAAGCGCAAGAGCAACTACTTCCCCCTCGTATAGTATAGGTCAAATTCACATATGGTTGATAGCTTGAATGAAAGATGGATGCTAGGTCAATTACATCGAGCCATCCCATCGGTTGATCAATCAATAGAGGGAGGAAGAAACCAATACTAACTAACTAACCGGGAGCAAAGGCCAACGGTAGATGGTACGCTTCGTCTCGCTTCTTCACCCGGTGACTTAACTATCTATTCATTTCCCACGTACTCACTGACGAACTGTACTAACTGGTGGGTTGATCCAGGTAGCTCAGATCTGGGAATGTACTACAGGGAACCTTCTCTAGTCTAGGAGCATTTCCACTATGTCTGTGTTCTTTCAATGCCCCTTCCTATAAGAACGTGCTAAACGAGCTAACAGTCAGTCCTGTCCTAAAGGCCTAGTTGTTCTACCAATCCCCTTAATACAAATAGTATGTGATTGATTGTGCTTATCCCTAGAAAAGGCTCGATATAATTGACCTAGTGGTTTTCCCCAGTAGGAGTCTTTACTAGTGGCATGCCGGATATTCCCATTGTCTCACGAGTGGGATGTTTCCTGTAATAGTACCAGTCCAACTCCCTTTTCTTCCTTTAAATAGGCATCGCAATGTTCATGTCACCGGTCGTACCAACTACGACAGCGCGATCAAGAGAGAATGTGAAACTCATGCCATACCATCTAGGTGGGATTCATTCTATCTAATGAAACTTGGGATTGATAGTGATAGTAGTCTAAAGGAATTCCTTTCCTTCACTTCGCTTCGCTTCTAAAGTTGGGTAGATCTCTACAACTAATATACATACATTCTTTTTTTCGCCCGGCCCTTTCTTTTGTGCCGAGACCTTGCCAATCTCCAGGTGGTTTGATTCGCCAACCTTAGCAAAGCAAATAAGAGGCAATCTTTCGATTTCGACGAATCTGCACTTGGCCTGAAAGTCCCATCCCTAGGACCTGTAGTGACACGAGAACAAGAAAGCTTGACCCGATCTAAGGACCGCTTCGACACAGGAGATTAGGCCAGAGAAGTTAGCGGTAGGGGTCTTTCCTCTCCGTTACCTTGTTGGGTCAACCAATTGCATTACTTCTTTCGGCGGGATTCTTTCTTCAAAAGCATGATAGTTGTGCTGTACCTTTCTCCGCTCTCCCCGGCTGTGCCGTACCGGTGAACTGAACTCGAGTTCGTTCTATTCGTTCTAACAGAATGCTAACCTCTATGACTGAACTTCGCTTTGTTCGTTGGGTCGATTTCCACTGATCGAAGGTTGAAGCTTTGCAAGTCCAATCCTATATCAGAAAAAGGGGAGCTAGTACTTTCGTTAAACAAAGAAGACAAAGGGTTCGGCCGATAGATGGGGCGCTAAGGCCTCAAGGAAGGGACTCAAAGGGAAAATCCCATATCCCGGGTTCCGTCATAGACTGGATGAGCTTGACTACTAAATGCCGTATCTTCTTCTCTATCGCGGGAAAGCACTCAACTGACGAGGAGATTGAATCCGCGAAACTTTTTCTTAACTTAAATAGGATGCTTTTCCGCGCCAGGATATGAATGAATAAGTTTCCTACCAGAAAGAAGTTCCTAATCTCTGCCATTGCAAAACCCCGACATATTTTATTTGTCTCAATCCTAACCTCATATTTCTAAGCTAAGCAAGTCCAGTGCTACAGGCTTCATTCGACAAAACAAAAGGAGATGGTTCTCTTGAGAGGTATCGGGCACGGTTGTGTGCTTCTTACTTAATTGTGCGACTGTCGTGCTGACTCTTTCGCGCCTAACCCTATTTAGATTTGGTTTGGTAGTTCCCCGTCGGTTCTGTACAAAGCAGGTTGACGACCTTACAAAAGCCCTAAAAGACCCAATCCCTCGGCCCGGGACCCGCGCTAAGCCTCAGGGGCACAAGTTTTTTTAAGTCTTTTATCACGGATTCAGTTCGGTTGCGAAATATATAGCTATCAAGCTGGTGGGACTGGAACTCAACCTGAAAATTCCCTTCCCCCGCAGGCAAGCTACGCAGCGAACGAATTTGTAGCTCCTTCTGCCCTTTTCTAGTCTAAGCTCACATTCTGGGGATTCCAGCGAAAATAAGTAGTAGCTCCTGCGATAGAAGTTGTTGGTGCTCTTACCTTAGTAGCTGCTTTTGTGGCACTCTTCTGGGTCTCCCGAAAAAAGCTAGTGTAGCAGCCCCAGTTCCCGTACCTGCAGTTCCTGCTGAAGCTCTTTCCACTGCTGCCGCAAAACCCGCTGCTTCTTCTAGCGAAACTTGTTGCAGCTCCTCTTCCTGCTCTATCTGCTGCTGGTGGCTCTTTGAGCGCCCCTTTCCCTTCTTTTATAGGGGAAGAAGATGTTGGAAAGGCCGCAGTCGTAGCTCTAATAGTCAAGGCAGCTTTCCCCGATTCACCTGCTTCCACGGATGAAACTGACGAACCCGATGAAACTGCTAGAACTGATTCAATAGAGGAGTACGGCACAAGTAGCAGCATTCCGACGATTCAAGGGCATAAGAAGCTTTAGAGCTGGGAAAGTTGCCGAAGAAGTTGTATGCTTGGGCTTCTGACCAGTAACTATAGTAGGGGCGGGAGAGGCTAAAAAAGGTTCGAAGAAAGGAGTTTAGTTAGTTACTTATTAGCTCTTTGATAGAGTTGCTTTTCTTATGTTAATAGGGCACGTTCTTAGGAATCGCCATCGCGAAGGCTTTTGAAGGATTTATGCGCGAGGCTCTGCAAGACCTTTCTAAAGTAGTCTTTCCCAAAAAGTCAAGATCGAAGTCAAAGCGCGATCTCCAGTCGCACAATTCCCTTGAGCTAGTCCCCTCTAATGGGAGGAGGTGCAAGTGCAAGATTGGCTAGGCCACTCTACAGGGAGTTCAAGAAGGCTCAGTTCCAAGGTATCGGATCAGCTTTAGCAGCGGTTTGCCTTGTTCCTTGCTCCTCAATCGATATGATATGGAATACCGCACACCGCCGGCTTGTGAATTCATAGCTCGTTTAACCGCTTCGCAAAGAAAGAACTGATCTTTTCTTTCAAAGCTGAGTTCCTGTCTTTCGATATGATACGTTATTGCCGATACCTATTGTATGGAAGAATGAAATGGGTAGTTCCATGCTCTCTTAGCCCTTTCTATAGAGTTCCTCTTCCGGGTAGGTCGGTCAAGTCAAGGGTGCAGGCTCAAGTCCAAGGTCTGCAGGTTCAGGTTCCAGGTCTAGGTCAGTCAAGGTAACGAGATCTCCAGTCAAATCAAATCGAATCGAATTCTCCAGCTCAATTACATCGAACCTCTTCATATGAGGAGTGACGCGAAATGGGATGATTTCCTTCAAGCGAGTAAATGCGGGAGTTAGTCGAAGATATGAGAGTTTCACCCGTGAGGATTGGCAGTTAAAGGCTCGTTGCTCCGGGCAGGTTCAAGGTTAGCGGATTATCGGGTAGTTTTCCTGTCCGATAGCGGATTTACTGGGAGTGAAATCCCTTGCTTTTCAGACGACAGGGGAAGGTCTTTCTCGACTTCTTTGTAATTCCTCAACTGCTTTCAGCGCTCGATCCCTTGGTAACATCTCTAGGACTTTCACAAGACCGGTGAAAAGCTGTAAAAGAAACCAATATCTCTGGACAGCAGCTCTCGTTTAACAACACATCTCAGAAACCACTGCTTCTTAGCTTGTTTGACTGGTATTGGAACACGCCTTTAACGCGATCTCCCCCTACCGGGGGATGGAACTGAGCCTGCTGGCTGGCTGTCTTGCTTTCAGCATCTCATATAGCTACAAAAGTGACTTCGATCATTTCCCTTCATAGACTGAAATTCTGATCAGACTTTTTGCATCGCATATAGCGAGAAAAGTTGCCAAGTCTTTTTCCCTAGAGTCAGAGGCATCCGCTGCCCTATTAGTCTGCAACATTAGTCCAATTATTGGTCCGTATTAGTGCAACTAGGAAGAAAGATTAGTCTCATAATGCCCGCTTCAAGTCTTAAGTCTGAAGGGTGTCTTTGATCTTAAGTGTGGTAATGTAATAGAAACCTTCGTAGGTTCCAGTCCTACTTCCTTCGCGTTATCTATGATAGTTTCTACTGTCCAGGAAAAGAATATCTGTCCTGTCACCGGCACTGGCATCCCTGCTTAATGAGCTAACGAGTCCGAGCTCCCGAGCCCCTTTGCCTGAGCCCCCTTTTGATCCACGGCTGGGAAAGTCTCTTGTCTTCTTTATTAGAACTTTATAAAGCATTCTTTGATTAGCAAAAGCAGAACTCATCTTATTAAAAGAAAATAAGGAAGTTGACCTGAAGCTGACAAGCCCAATCCAGCTACAGCATTATTTATACGATATTTAGCTTTCGCTCCATCTTCTTCTTTTCCTGTTGGCTTGATCACAGGATTTGACTTGCATGCATGATGGATAGTTCCTTGCCTAATGTTGTGTGTGTCTCTTTCCCTAGCCACTTTCTAACTGGCAGGAACCTGTGATAAGGAATCCCCTATTATAACTTAAAAAAATGCTATTAATAAATTGGGACTTAAACTGTTACTAGCAATACCGGGGACGGAGTAACCTCATGAAAGGCCAAGTGCTTATATTGACTTAGCTAGAGAAAAGTTATCCTTCCTTTTGATTTTAGCGCTCCCTTGCTTTTTTCCTTTTATGAACTTCTTACTAACAGCTACTTGACCACAGTCGCTCACTCTATTTACTCCTTGGTTTAGAGAGATTTCCGAGTGCTATTCTTACAGCTTGCCTTACTAATTAATGTGCCCTCCTTGCTACTGCTGCCATACCACAAAAAGCCCAATTGGCTAAGGCTTCTCTATAGAATAGACTCTTCCCACTGCTAACTTTTAAGCTAATTATACAGCCTTTACTTTAGCTCGGCAATAGGATTAGGCTTATCTGCTGTCGTCGACTCTGAACGAATGGTGGAAGCTCCTGCTCCTGTGAGCTCATCCGGTACAGATAAGGAAGACGGTGCTGTATCATATGTTTCGGTAATAGTAGCACGCCAGAGAAGGGACAAAACCATTCCTTCGACCTAGAATAGAACTACTATAATAAGAGAAGAGAGATCTAAGTGTAGAAAGAGGTCTTGCAGAGCCTATCCTAATTATGGGAGTGAGTGAATCCACTTTGATTCGCGCTTGGCCACTCTGTTGATGCAGTACCCTTCACGACTAAGGGAACTCTGTCTTCTATAAAGGTACAACTCTTGGTTGGATATCTAGATTGAAAACCATTCTTTCTGACAGCATGAAAGATTTCCTTAAGAGGACCCTCAACAAGCAGAGAATCACCAAATGGAAACCTAGCTTCGAGGGGGCATATTAATCCTTTAAATCGACATAGCGAAAGGGTATATTCTGACGGAAATTAGAAAAGGTTTCAGCAGAGTCAATGAGAATCGGATTGTGATCCGAGTGTGTTCTAGGCAGAACCACAACATGGGCTTCAGGGAATTTGAGTTTCCAGTTTTCCAGTCGGCATTCAAAACTGCCCTATTCTCTCGTTTGATTTGTTGCCATGACCAAAGTCAATTTTCAGTCTAGCTACTTGACGAAAAGAGAGGAAAGGGCAAGCTATAGCGGATCTACTGGCCGAGTACCCGGTCGAGGACTCGACTGACCTATTCTATTGGTGGAGCTGCTCGACTGAAAGAAAGGTTTTGGGTGACTTTGATGATTCTTGGCGTCATTTAAAGCAGAACCAGACTGCCAACGATCTGACGATAGAGAGTCTTCGCCTTGTAGACTCACTTTCAGCTAATGGGAATCTTTGTCTTTCCTTCTTTCTTTCTAGTCATAGGGGATGAGATTGGGTGTCCGAGTACCGATGTACAACTAAGTAGATGTCTCACGGGCGAAGGAATAGAGTAAGGCTCCCACCTTCGAAAAAGTCTTGACTTGAGGGCGGTTGCCGCTTTCCTTCCTGCAAACGGAGGGCGCCGTTCGCCCCACACTGAAGAAAGAGTACAACAGAAGATGAATGCAAGAGATAGACAGGCCTGCTGACCCTATCCTTCTTCCATACTCACAGCGAGTCCATTGTGCTTACGAACGAGTGGAGCGTCTTCAATGCGAGTTGTGCGTGGAGTTTCGCCTAAACTGTTTAGTTAAATAGTGGCCTTTCTTGTTTTCGAGTGCCCCCGCCTTCGGAAAGGATACTCCTAGGGGTACCTTAGTTCTCCATAGGCGTCTGAAGGGGGAGTGGAGTGAAGGCATTCTCTTGGGACGCCAGCTTACTATACTAAGAGAAGAGGGCGCTATTGTTCAGTGGTAGGGTCGATGTAATTGAGAAGCGCAAGCATACTGTGTTGTTCTTCCTCTTCAGCGGACAAAGCAATAAGCAGTTGTTTTCGGTTCGTTTTGAGTTTTTTCCTTTCTACAGGGACGCCCACGCAGCGGGGATATGGGGCGGGGGGACAAACAAAGCAAGAGGGGGTAATAAGTCCGCGTTAAAGAGTCCTTTCATCACCCCCAAGGCCTTCTAAAGCCTTGTGCCAAGGTAATGGTTTAATAGTTAACAGCGCCGAAAATAGATCGCGCTTAGCTTAGCAGCCATGTCAGATTTGAATCAGTGAAGGTGGTAGGGAACTCGTTTTCACGAGCCCGAGTGGTTATCACACACCCTCGGTTGCTGCTCTTTAACGACAGCAACGGCCCACTTCCAACGGTGTTAACTATAAGACAACTACCTACTCACCCACTTGGAGACCATCTTCTCAATGTAATCGACCCTCAGGTTACTAATCGGAGGAGATAACTTTGAACAAAAGCAGTCTACTCATGTACTAATGGCAAGGTCCAGGATGCAGAGATTCCGATCTTTGCGCCTTCTCTTAGTACAAATAGGCTGTTTGCAGGGTACTAGCGCTTAGTCCATTCCTTGATCTACGAATGCCAGGTATGCAGTATTACGATAAGAGGCCGATGGGACTGCTTTCAAAGGCTAGAATAGCTAAAAAAATAGGCTAGCTTCCTTTTCCTTAGTTATTTGTTTTGAGAAGACCCTCCAACACCACTAAAAACATCTTGTCTTTCAAATCTTCCCTCGCAAAAACACTCTCGGTTAGGGCTCTTTCTTTTGATTGAGAACTGGGGTCCCCATAACAAAAAGTTTCAGGCCACTACACCGAAAGAAAGGAACTACAGACACTAATACAAGCAGTCGCTTAAGTACCCACTAGCTCCCCAAGACAGAACACCAGCTGAAGCCGTCTAATCCCTAAACCTCTCAACTCACAACATGAATTGGACTCCTTTTAGTCGAGAGAAAGATCAAGTATTGGACTCCAACTCAGTCGAGCACTTCGTCCCTCGGAGAATAAGTCGTTCCCTTCCTCTCCTTATCAGTCGAGAACCCCGTACCTCAGCGAGCAAGCAATTGAATGAAAACTGTGTAAATAAAGAAATAGCGTAAATAGATTCGAACTGATGGAATGATAATATGATTTAAGTAGTTTCTTACCCAGTAAGGAACTCAACTCATGAGTATCGGCCGGTTAATAAAACGTCAATATACATCGAGCCTCTTCTTCTTCTGCGGATTCAGGAACTGAAACAGATTCAGCGGATTCTTATGATTATGATTCTCCCTGATTTTGATCACTTCTTCAAGACGATAGCGATTGAAGCTCCCGCTGGCTGGTCAAGCTCAAAAGAAGAGTTCCTATTTTTCGGAATCTGGTACTAAAAGGGCTGTCTAGCTATGGAAGAAGAAGTAGGTCACCGGTCACCAAAGGGTGCGATATTCATTCGCCTTAGCACGATAAGCGAACTTTGATACAGGGGCTAGCCCGGCCGGCTACACTTCCTTCAGCTTCAGTAATACGTTTGAGCCGGTCTTTGAGAAAGTCAAAAGAAGAGTTTGATCCCGTCTCAGCTAACCTTGCCAGCCAGCCCCTACCCTATTTATTCCGTAACCTATAGGCTTTCTGCTGCGTCTTTTATCTCGGGTCTTCTCCTCTCACAGATATAATTAGAGCGCACCTCACCTACTAACTACTGCGCTCCGACAAGGACTGTAACAGCCTCCGCCTTTGGACCTGGAACCGTGGGTGTATTGGCTATAGGCTTTCTAAAGTTCAATCCGGTACTTGTATCGGATCGGTAGCGCACCGGCTTTCGCCCAACATTAAGTAAGTCGATNAGGGGACATGTCCGCCCGCTCCGCTCGCCGTGATGGAGCCGAATAAATAGGTCCAATGGTTGGAATTTATGGCTTTTTCACTTCGGACTTCTTACTTGAAACTAAGTGAGGACTCGGATTTGAACCGAAACCCTTAGAGGTACGAAGTGCTCGACTGAGTTGGAGAGGGGGAGGGCTTTGGAAACCTAATCCAAACAGCTGGTAGTTGGGCTGACTTGGAGGAGTCTTTCTCATATTCAGACTTTCATGACTCGGACGATAACCTGAAAGTCTTTCTTTTTCTTGGTTTCCTGATGTAATCTATTCATGGTCAGAATGGGATACAGAATAAATAGACTTTTCTCGCCTCTTTGATTCGATAGTCAGACCTTGGCCTTTCAACTAAGCGCGGAGACCCGCCCTAAGATTATGTCTTTCGCTAAGTCTGTTGTTAACAGTACGTTAGCCCGGTAGTTGGATTTGTGGGTATTTCCTTTTTTGTCGGTCAACCATTAGGGGATTACTGTTCTTGTCCATTATTTGCCTTCTCCCACCATTTATTGGTGTGGTGGGCGGCAGAGCGGGTTTATCCGGGTCTCCGGTTCGATCGATATGTAGTGCTTGGTGATGATGTTCTCATCACTGATCCTGAGGTAGCTCAGGTGTATCAAGGAGCGAAGCAGCTCGAACGAATGTGAGAGGATCGACGAAGTTGAGGTCTTACAATTTAGTATCACAAGTCCTTAGTGTCTTCTTCTGGTGCAGCTGAGTTCGCAAAGCGTTTTCTCATTAGGGATATGAGAGTTGATCTCCCACCTATCTCTATGAAAGCGCTGCTTGGTTTCCACCACCCTTTTGGTCTAATTGCCCTTAAGGAGAAGTCGTCTTTATCGTACTCTCTCCTTATGAGGGTTGGTGGTGCAGGGTATCGGGTGTGGTCTCAAGGTAGGAAAGGAAGCCCCCTAACGGTACGTAGTTGGCTCAGTTGGAGGCTCTATGTTAATTGACGTGTAACTCATTTTAATGTAATATGTGAAGAAGTTCAGTTCGAATCTATTTACGCTATTGAGTTAGTTTTCTTGCTGGGACTTTCAGTCAATTAAGTCCAACCTGATCGTGCATACACTGATCTGAACTTCACTTCTTGGATTTTTGATTCATCTCAAGCAAGCAATTGAATTGCGTATAGAAAGAAAGAACATCTTCTAAAATCTCTGAAACTCTTTTCTTGACAGTTTCTCGATTGAGAGAGCGGCGGGCCCATAGAACTCCCCAATAAGTGCCCCTAAATGGGGCCGGAGAGTCGGTAACCTTAGATCGCCTAAGATCGAATGGTGGATTGAGACAGAAAAGAGAGATCTAGACAGTGTTCCGTGATTTCATTCTAGTCAGTCTTTACTTAACTCGACCCAAGCGATGCTTTTCGACTCCTGATTCGTAATGGTAGAAAAAGGGCGCACGGACCGTACTCGAGTTGACTCTTCCCAGAAGCAATAGGCCTACGTGTTTCAACGATCAATTTCCCATGCTTTCTGTTGGTCAACAACCAACCGCAGCTCTCGTTTTTCACTACTCGTACAGGAAGGACTCTCTTTCTGTATGGAGGGAATTTGATTGTCTCAATCAATCATGCCTCGCATGGCTTCTATTCCTTCGGCAGTGGATTCGTAAAATGTTCGGAAGACGAGAGTGATAGTTGAAGATGTGCCATCAAAGGAGATTACTTTGCTGGGGGAAGGAATAAACTGGGCTTGAAATGCAGGGAGTCAGTCAATAGGCAGAAAACCCAAGGGATGTCACTGAAGACCAAGCCACGAGCTAGCTCAGTTAGAACGAAATTAGGACTACTCTCACGACTATGGACTGTTCTCCTTCCCTTTTATCACAACCAGGGCTCTCCTAATAACCTTTACAACTTCACCCGAAATCTGATATTAATTACCGTGGGAATCAAGAAGACTCAAATGTATATATATACGACTTCCTTAGTTCTGGAACATGCCGTACCTCCAAGGTTCTAACAACCCCATCATAGATCAACATTCTAACTGTACCCAGGAAAGCTCAATCCCATCTCCTTTTTTATGACTTCACTTCGCTTCGCTTCGCTTCGTTTGTTGGGGAAGAAGTTCTTTTTTCATCTTACTATACGATGCATGCCCCCAAAGAAAAGAGGGAAAGCGCGGACTGACTTTACTGGATGGAAGATGACTTTGAATTTGGCTTAGGAGAGGCCTTGACTACATCCTGATAACCGCCTGTCTGTCTTGACATAAGAAGGAGTGCAGTAAGTGTCTCCGGACATCGAAAGTTTCTCAAGCACGGCACCGGATTCTCCTTAATCAGAGTAGGCTGCACATGAATAGGCTCTTCTTACCGCTACGCCCCTTTCTCTTTTTGTCTTTCCCGTGGATGTCCGCCCGGCAGGTGCTTTACGAAGATAGACCCCGAGGAGATCTCGAATCTGAAAGATAAATCAAATTACATAATCAGAATTCAATAAATTAGAATGCGGTTAGCCTTTATCCCTGGAAAATAAGTCATTCAAGCCCTTTCCCATCCACACTGTTTTTTTGGGTAACACCCAAGCAAACCTCTTTCTTGAGATAAGTACACTTGTACAAGAATTATTAGTTTTGTCTATTATCTATGAGAATTTGGAGTGCAGTCTGGCAGAGAATATCCTGTTTTTATTCATTCCATGTGTCATTTATTTCGAGGTATATAAGTTATTGTCGATCAGGATCTCCTTTAAAACCAGTTCCGGAGGGTCTCTACAATAAATTCAAATTCTATCTATCGTCATTCACGCATGTGTATGATTTACACTCCTTAATTATGACTCTTATCAAGTGTAAACCTCACATAGGTAAGAGACCCTCAACAAAGGTCTTTTCCTTCACTTCGCTTCTAAAAGTTTGTTGGGTCTGTTGATTGCGATAGTGAGGCGTGGGCAAGAGTGCTGAAGGAACCCTGGGAAAAGAAAAAGTAGGGAATCTAAAAGGGAGAAAGGGGATGGAGAAAGAGATCGAGGAAAGCCGATAGAGGCATACTTGTATGAATGAACAAGAGGTTGAAGAAAAGCGGTAGCGAGCCAACCACTTCCAGCTTCGACAAAGACAGGAAAGTTCCTACCCCAAAGAGAGTTTTTTCTGTTTTTGCTTCCCGGTCAAGCTACACTGGGAGAAGGAACTAGTCCAACAAAGGCAAATGCTTTAACTCGAACTTCTCTTAGGTCGGACCCGCCACTACCACTTTCTATGGGCTACCAATCTTCCAAGAACATACACTCCTGGATTGCTCTCTACGGCTTGCGCGATTAGGTTGAACCTATTCCCCCGCCTTCCCGTCGCTTGTAGACCTGAGACCAGCATTTTTTCATACTTTATATAAGCGGTCCTAGCTTCCCAGACCTTTCCTGAAGTGGAAGGAGAGGAGAGATTCAATTGACGACCAAACAAACGAAGCGAAGCGAAGTGAAGGAAAAGAGAGGAGAGGCGAAGTGAAGTTGATGCGGTGGCCGCTTGGATTAGGTTCCCTCTCATGCCTTTGGAACTCTATGAAGATCGTGCTATTCTGGCAATGGCTGAACAAGTTGGGAAATTTGTTAGAATTGACCATACTACTGCTTTGGGTTCGAGGGGCAGATTTGCAAGAGTATGTGTTGAAGTTGATCTAACCAAGCCTGACAACGGCACCAAACATGATACTGGTCAGAAGTCTCTTCCTTCATCGTCTTCACCTAAGAAACCTTCTGTGCCTTCTCCCAAGAAGGCTCCTATGCCACCTAAAATTGCTTTACAAGAATCAGCTTAAACAAGATTTACAGGCTGCTGCCTAGTTGGCAAATAAAGGGCTTTCTTCTAAGGCTAGCAAGGAGAAAACATCCCATTGAATAGATTGGGATAGCTTGAAGAACTGATTTTATCATTACTTCTATGCCGGTCAAACTTTGCTGCTCCAATTTTGGATTCTTGAAGCAATTCTGCTTTGTTTGGACTGAAAAGCCTGCTTCTGATTTCGTCCCACCATAAGGGGGGAGACCAAAATCAATATTAATATCATCCACGGCTCGTTCCTTCCATTCTCCCATCATGCGGAGTTGTAGCTCAGCATGGTTGTGTATGGCAGGCACTCGTTCATAGAGAGAGAGGCTCGATGTAATTGAGGTCAAGAAGGGTTGCCACGTGCTCCTGCAGGAAAGCGGTTTTTGCAAGATCCCCTTGTGGTGATGTAATAGCGGAAATTCTCTGGGGAAGGATAAACTAACGCGTGAAACACTCCGCCTGGACCATGCCTCAGCTAGATGTGGAAAGGTTGAAGGTATCGATCCAAGGGCGCCCCCCTTTTGTTTCGCTTTTATCCCAGATGAAGCAGGTTTCTGCCACCTATGCTCAATCCTATCTTAAGATCAGCGAAAAAGACTGTTGGAGTCTTGTTGCGCGGAGTTCGAGCTTCGGAGGCCGTCTAAAAGGGGTATTCACACTTGCAACCATATGAAAGCGGAAAGACGGAATGCTCTCGATCTAGGCTTGCTTTAAAGAGTGGGTTGGGGGTTGGACTTTTCAAACTTAGTCTGCTTTCGTCATGCAGATGAGAGTAGGGGCGACTAAAAGTAGCCTATCGGCGATACAGAGCTCTGAAGTAACTAGAGATTGATATTAGCTAACTGCCTCCTTACAAGTGTAAGCTCATACTTACAAAGATGTTTTAAGCCCCTAATCACTACAAGCTAGCAAGCTTATAACTGAGATAAATCATCAACTTTCCCTCTATCGCCGCAGTGCCATATAACATTATCATAATTAAGCCACTAGCTTCAGTTATTTACTCTGCCTCAATGGGAGTGGGGCAATAGGGTTGCACATGAAGGAGAGGCGGAGGAGCGTAGGATGTGGTTGGTACCTCCTCAAGGTCCCATACGAGTGATCTATACGAGGCGGTCAACACGAGGGCGCATCGCCTTACTATTATATTAGGCTCCCCCTTTCGTCATAAGGCGTAGTCTTCCTCGCTGGGGACGCCTTGATGAACAAGAAAGAAGGCGGATTTGAGTCGCCCTCTAGTTTGGCTTGACTGGCTTCGTAACCTTCGTATAGGTCTTGGATACCTCTCAATAAAGAAATTATGATCTGAGCTGAGGCGCTGTCTTGTTCGTTCCTAAGAATGTTCTGATCTGAAGAGAATGTGTGTATGGTTATTTTCATCATGTATAGAATTTCTTATAAAACAGTTAGCTTGACAGCTTCTTCGCCTTCCTAGCTGAGACCAAGTCTCTCGAGCCTAGTCCTTTGAAAGCTCATCCATTCCCGTCGTCTATTAAAAGGTTGGATCCTATTCTGGACTCTTAGTAGCTAATTACCGGACTATTCCCTAGATACACACGTCGTGTTATTTCACAATTGATTCTATTTTAAAAAGACCTAAAGTGAAGGATTTCTCAATAGGTAATGTTGCACCAAGACCCAACCAAAGGGCCACTGCGGTACCAATCAAAAGGTTGTCGCTACTGGACGACGAAATGGGTTTTGGAATTTATGAAAATTCTCTAAAAAAGTGTTAATAATCCGGGTACTGAAACCATTAAAAGAACACCCAAGAATTTCTTAGGTCACGAAGATCGAAGTAAGGGGGGAGTGAGACTTTGACTGTGATCGTATCTGCTGTTGTTGGAAGAGAAGCCCAAGAATGAATATAGAATAAGGCAGGAATATGAACCTTTTTCTATATCCAATTATGCTCAAAGCGATCTTAGCCCAAAAGATTTGAACATCTGCTACTAAGATGAGTTTAGCAGGACGTAAAGAATGAAAAGGATAGGTTTAAAGATGCTCGACCATAAGAACGAAGCGAAGCGAAGTTCAGTCATAGAAGTTTTTGGTCAATTGCATCGAACCTCCGAAGGGAAAACCATATTTACATAGGTCAATGTAATCTTTAGAAGCGAAGTGAAGTTAAAGAAGTGAAAAGAAAGAGCCCTTGACCACCTTGTGATCGACGACAATTTCAGATGCAAGCAATTCAGACTGACTCGCTTGTGTTTTGTTTTGCAGAAGATCCAAAGAAAAGGAATAGAGGAAAGAAGTTCAGTCAAAGTTTGGAGACCCTTCGTCGCAAAGAACGTATTTGTCCACAACTCAGACAGTTCACTTTCGAACATCGACTTCATGTGTTCTTCCTATGGCCATTTCCAGGCGGCCCGTAACTTCCGAGCCCATTCCCCACCTTCCATCGAACTCCATTTCGGATGCAAACCTTGGTTTGTGCAATAGGCAAGTATTCCTGTTCGTGAGACATGGGAAAAACACCTTTTTCTTTGGACATGGAAAGCGAACGTTCAGAAACGGCAGACACAAGCGGGTTGGTTGGTTAACTCCTATAGCTCGGAGCTAATTTACTGGCTGGTTTAGCTGCATGCCTTCCAAATCTTGACTTCACTTCGCTTCGCTTCCTCAACTTTGTCGAACCTATCCAGCAGCATTTCAATCCAACCATCTCTTATCCCGTTGTGATTCAGGAAAGGCTAACGAAATTTCGTAAGATATATTCGTTTGGGCATACTTTGACTAACTTCTCTCGAGTTCTAGAAATCTCTTTACAGATGTTCAACATATAGNCTGAATCTCACGCCATATTGGACTTTCTATCTCCTCTACTCAATCTTTCTTTCCTATCATCAAAGACTAGTGCGGTGGAGTTTGATTATTGATATCCAAATCCAATTTCTGTTTTAGAATACAGGTAAGCCGAGCCAAGAGTTTCGCTATAGCTCCAACCTTCCTCTCCCTATGGTCGAGCCTTTATGACTGAACTTCGCTTCTAAAGTACCTTTCGCGTCGAGCTCAATTACATCGATCCTCGTAGCGTAGAAAACTGCGCTGCCGAGACCATTCAGGATTGGGAGACATCGCTCAGTGATACATCACCGCTCAAGCTTCGACGTAGCGAAAAGGGCAGTAAGCAAGCAAGGAATTGAGTTAGTCAATGATACAGCAGAACCCTTCAACGCAAGGTTCGATGTAATTGAGGAGATACCGTCAGTGATCCATAGAAAGCTGGTCATAAACCCGTGATACGCTATATGCTTTTTGCCCTTTACTTTAGCGCTTCGCTTGCTAACTCTGCTTTCAGTAGCTCTACCGAATGTGAGAAAGTAGATATCATTCTGGGGCGCGGGGAGAGCGAACGAAGAGTGGGAACGGAACCTACGTCCGGTCTTTGGGGTTAATCGCTTCCGGGAAGAGAAGAGCCCGAGAAGAAGTGACTGTAGGGGGAAGACACGAACGGTAGAACAATAAGTAAGGAGGTCTTTCTAGTGACTAGGGTCGATATAATTGAGTGAGCCGATCTACGAATAGAACAAATCTTATATTAGGTAAGAAGGAAGTAATAGGAACGTGGAATCTTATCTAGAGCCCAAAGGACTAAGGAATAGATCTCTTATTCTCCTGTTTTCAGGGGACTTCCTTGGTCACCCTTCCTTTCCTGATCTGATTGATTACTCTTGAATCTTTGCTTCCCCGGAGAGAAAGCATATTCTATTCTATAGAGTCCTAAGGGGAACATGGCATACGTCAGTGGTGCTTCCATATGCCGGATTGGTAGTCTTGTTAGGCACAGTCTTAGTGTTATGCCTGTTATCCACAGTCGACACCGCTATCCATGAGTTAGGCTTACTACTGTTAGCTCTCGTAGCACGTTAGCTCAGTATGCAACGTTTTACTTTACTATATTCCTTAACCCTACCATGTAATCTTCTCATTAACCTTCCATTAGACTGGAAGAAAAATGAAGACTAAGACAAGACAGGAGTTTCGTGGAAAATAGAAAAAAAGCCTTTGAACCGATGACTTACGCCTATTTCTTAGGGCCTTTAAAGAGCGTGACTCTACCGCGGCCCATTTTTGATTCAATTCATGAATTAGCCTACTAGAGTTCACTGCATATATATATATATAATAATATATATAGTATATCATTTCTGTCTCTGTTACAAGACGGCGAAAGAAACTAAATCGAATGAAATCCAATGAGACAAAAGAATAAAAGAATTTTGAGGCTGTACACCTAATTTTCCTGGGACTGTAGTTCAATCGGTCAGAGCACCGCCCTGTCAAGGCGGAAGCTGCGGGTTCGAGCCCCGTCAGTCCCGACGGATCCAAATCCAATAAAAAGAAATTTTACCATTTTCTGTGAAAGAAGGACAAATAGCAGAATTTCATTCCAAAGGGAGATCCTTCTTATTTCGATTTTCGTTTTTCATTTCTCACAAATACTTTTATGGGAATTTTCATTTCTGAAACTAGTATCGATGCTTTGCTTTGGTCTAGGTCTCTCTTAAATCTTGTTTGGGATGGTCTAGTATAAGCTCCGGTTGACGGAACGAAGAGCCAGGGCTTCCAGCCCGACCCGATTCCGGGGTTAAGAGAAAAGGCCGTGGACAATAAAGCGAAGCGCCCATTCCGCTTCTGATGAGGGGAGCTGCATCGACCCTTTCAGTGGTTGTAGGCGCTAAATGCTATAGGTTAGTGCGGGATAACCAATATCCACACTTTCTTATAGCTATAGCCGAAGCTTCTATGACTTCACTTCGCTTTGCTTCGTTTGTTGGGGCGAAAAGAATGAGAATTTCTGATTTTAACACTGAGCCCCAAAGGTTTGCAATTGTGATTTGGTACCTTTGGTTGTGGCGTAATGACCGGGTGTTTAAGGATCAAAGGTTGCCGCTGGGGGTTCAAAATTGTTTCATTTTATTAAGAGGATGTGGATGGAGAATGCTAGAGCTGTTCATGAGACTTCAGCTAAAAGAAGTCTCGGCTATTCAATGGAATTCTCCTTCGATAGGGGTTGTTGCACTTAATACTGATGGAGGTTCTCATGGTAATCCAGGGCCAGCTGCAGGTGGTGGAGTGTTGCGTAATCATCTCGGTCAATGGCTGGGAAGTCGAGCAATGTAGGGTATGCTTCGGCTTGTTTGGCGGAGTTATTGACAGTCTATTATGTATGGTCTAAGAGTGGCTTGGGATAAAGGGTTTAGGAAGCTTCAAGTGGATTCACAAGATGGTAGTTTCGTATATTGTTGTCTGATCTACGAGGAGGCTACTTGAGTGGGCCTACAGCGGATATGTATGGCATTGCTCTCCTATCGTCACGACATATCGGCAATTTCAGAGGCAGCAACTTATGAGGAACTTCAATGGTACAATGATAACAAGTTCAATGCTTCGGATTCAAGTCCTTATACGCTAAAGATGCCAGCGATCCATTTCAGCATAGCCAAGCCAAGGTGCTTTGTAAAGAAAAAGAAGGCAGTGTGGAGAAGCTTAGAACCTATTACACAGAAAGCAGCAGCATATAGAAGGGTTTGATGGAGTTATCAATGACGCTTGATCAGGTGACAGCTGAAAGAGAAAAAGAAGATGAGAAGGGAAGATGATGATAACAACGACGGGCAGGTGGACATATCTCAAACAGAAGAAAGACAACTAGTTTCATCTCTATTGCCTAAAGAAAGTGATGAGAATGAAGTTGACCAAGAGAATGTTGCCTCCGACATAACCAGTATCTCAGAAGTTGCAACTGCGATCCCTGCTCTGGTTTCATTTAGTTTTATGCCAAGATAACATTAATCAAGCCACAAGCGAGGAAAGCCAAGAAGAAAGAAAAGGGTAGATGTAATCTAGGGTACAAACTTTTCGAAGCGAAGTGAAGTCATAGAAGTTTTGGTCGAACGGGATTAGGTTTAACGTAGTCCTAGCTCCAGGGTTTTGAACGACGATCTCACAGCCGAGAACCAGTAACGCGTCAACCATGTCAAACCTTGACCGGGGAGATTTTCAAGAGTTTGTGTCGAACTTGATCATCTCAGAAAAGGGAGGGCTTCAATCCTTACTCTTTATCCCCATCTTCCAAATTGAGGATTTTGGATTGTTTTTGAATCAGCCAGGACGTGGACTCCCGCCACAGTTCACGTCTCAAATTTCTTTTCCCACTGAATTGGCTGTCCTTGGGAAAAGATCTCTTGATTC